CAGGCGGGGCTGCGGAGCCGTGACGGTCGCCTCCGTCACTGCTGGCGCCGCTGGGTGACCCTCGGGGAACCTTCACTTCTTCATCTGTTGCGGAGGGGAAGATAATCGTCCCCACGTCATCGAGGCTTCGGCGAGGCATGCCACGGAAAGGGGTGTCGACGGGGGGATCAGACTCCCAGTTGGGGTCAATGAGCTGTCACCGGCAAAGTCGCAGCGGGGAAGTGGGCAGGACAACGGGAGTAGGCAGCCGGCCTGGGGTGGGGTGGACACTAACGTGTGTGCAGCAGGGAGGGGATTAGCCGCGGGCCTCCAGGGGAAGCAGGAGGATAGACGACCCCAAGACATTCCCTCCATCCTGGGTGGGTGCGGTCTGCTTCCCCGAGCCCTTCCCCAGTTCCCTGCCCACCCAGGCAGGCACTGGGCAGCTTTTGGGGTTGGGAAGCTTGGCGCCTTGGGATGAGCCTTAGGGTGCCGTCAGACCCCTGCGTGCCCATACGGCTTTGCAAGGTCCACTCCCCTGGAGAAATTCCCCACTCTGGGCCACAAGGTCCTAGGGCCTTGTGGGGCTGAGCCCTGAAACCATGAGGCCTGTGGACCTGGGAGAGTAGAGGCTATAGGCCAGAGCTCTTGAGTTAAATGACCCAACAGGGACTCTCTGCTTCTTCCAAGCTAGGGACCGGATTTCAAGGGACTAGAGCGACTCTTCCTCCCTGGGGAGCAAGAGGAGAGCAGTCCAGGCACAGGGGACAGTTTGTAACCAGGGCCCTTGAGGACCAAAAGGAGCATGGCCTGGAGAGCAACACTGCCTGCCTGTGCCTTCTCAGCTCATGGGTCTGCCATGGCTGCACCCTTGCCCAGGGAGCCTTTCTCACCCCCCAGCCTGGGCTGGGGTACTTGGGGTGCCCTGTAGCAATTGTCTCTTCCCTCCCAGAAATGACAGCTGCCCCTGTATATTCAGAGCTTAGAATGCAGTAGGTGGTGAATCACTGTTGAAAGAGTCATCAAATAGGTCAAGTCTATTCTGGATTCCTCTAGAGCTGATAACATTCCTTTATCAGGGCCTTCTTTGTTAAAAGTCCAACCCAGAGCTGTCTCATAGAATGTTCTGTGATGCTAGAAACATTCCATATCAGTATCTGCATTTTCTGGTACAGTGGCCACCAGCCACAGGTTACTGAGCCCTTGAAATGTGACTGACTGGTGGCCGGGTACGGTGGCTCAGTCTGTCATCCCAGCACTTTGAGAGGCTGAGGTGAGTGGATTGCCTGAGCCCACGGGTTCGAGACCCATCGGTCAACTTGGTGAGACCTCGTCTCTACAATAAATAAATCAAGCCGGGCTCGGTGGCTCAGCCTGTAATCCCACGCCTTTGGGAGGCTGAGGTG